AGATATGACAATAGTAAATATTTGTGCACCCAACATCCGAGCACCCAAATATAGAAACAAAGATCATTATATAATGATAAAGAGGCAAATCTGTCAAGAAGATATGACAATAGTAAATATTTGTGCACCTAACATCCGAGTACCCAAATATATAAAGCAAAAAACTAACAGAGCTAACAGGAGAAGTAAGCAACAGTACAATAATAGCTGGGTACATTAATACCCCACTTTCAGTAATGGCTGGATCATCCAGAGAATCAAGGACACAGATTTGAACACCACAGACCAAATGGATATAAAAGTCCTATACAGATTATTTCTGACAACAGCAGAAAACACATTCTTCTCAAGTACACATGAAACATTTTCTAGGACAGATCACATGTTAAGGCCACAAAATAAGTCTTAGCAAACTCAAGAAAATCGAAATCATACCAACAGTCATTTCAGTCTTTGACCACAGTGGTCTGGAACTAGAAATCCGTACAGGAGGAAAATTGAAAAATTCAGAAATACATAGCAGTTGAACAACACTCTCAATACCCAGTGGATCAAAGAAGTAATTAAAGGAGAAATAAGTATCTTGAGGTAAACAAAAGTGGAAACACAACACACCATAACAATAAATGCCTACATTAAGAAACAAGAAAGGTCTCAACCTAACTCTTTGCTTTAAGGAACTAGAAAAAAAACCAAACTGAACCCAAAATTAGCAGAAAGAAAGAAATAATAAAGATTAGAGCAGAAATAAATGAAATAGAGAGCAGGAAAATAATAGAAAAGATTTACAAAATGAAGACTTGGCTCTCTGGAAAGATAAAATTAACAAACCTTTAGCTATACTAACCAAGAAAAAGAGAGGGTAGGCCCAAATCAACAAAATTACAAATGAAAAAGGAGACATTACAGTTAATACCACAGAAATGCAAGGGATCATTAGAGACTACTATGAACCAACAAACTGGACAACCTAGAAGTAGAAAAATTCTTAGGAACACACAACCCCCTAAGAATGGGCCAGATAGAAATAGAAACTCTGAACAAATTACTAGTAAGGAAATTGAATCAGTAATCAAAAATGTCCCAACAAAGAAAATCCCAGGAGAAGATGGCTTCACTAGTGAATTCTACCAAACATTGAAGTAATTAATGCCAGTCTTCTCAAACACCTCCAAAATATTGAGGAAGGTACACTCACAAACTCATTTTATGAGGCTAGCATTGCCCTAATACCAAAGCTAGGGAAGGACACTTGTCAGAAAACTACAGGCCAATATCCTGGATGAATATAGAGGTAAAAATTCTCAATAAAATACTAGCAAATTGAATTCAGCAGCACAGTAAGAAGGTCATTCACCATGATCAAATAGAATTTATCCCTGGGATGAAACTATGGTTGAACAAACACAAGTCAATCAATGTGATATATCACATTAATATAATGAAAAACTCATGATCATCTCAATGTTGAAAAGGCATTTGACAAAATTCAACATCTGTTCACGATAAAAACTCCTAATAAATTATGTACAGAAGGAATGTACGTCAACATAATAAAGTCCATATATGACAAGCCCACAGCTAACATCATACTTAATGGTGAAAAGTTGAAAGCCTTTCCTCTAAGATCTGAAACAAGGCAAGGGTGCCCAGTCTCATCACTCATATTTGACATATAGGAAAGTCCTAGCCAGAGCAATCAAGCAAGAAAAAAAAAGTATCAGAACTAGGAAAGAAGAAATAAGATCATCTCTATTTGCAGAGTACATGATTGTATATATAGAAAATACTAACAACTCCATCAAAAAAACAGATCTAAATCCATGAATTCAGTAAAGTTGCAGGATACAAAATTAACATTAAAAAGCCAGTAGCATTTCTATGCACTAATAATTATTTGAAAAAAGAAATCAATTCCATTTATAATAGCATCAAAAACAATAAAATACTTAGGAATAAGTTTAACCAAAAAGATGAAATATCTCTACACTGAAAACTGTAAGACACTGATGAGAGAAATTGAAGAAGACAGATAAATGGAAAGGGATTCCACGTTCATGGAGTGGAAGAACTTTGTTGAAATGCCCATACCACCCAAAGTCATCTATAGAGTCAATACAATCCCTATCAAGATTCCCATCGCATTTGTTTTTTTTACAGAAATGGAAAAAAATCCTTAAATTTATATGGAACCTCAAAAGACTCGAAGTAGTCAAAGCAGTCCTGAGAAAGAAAAACCAAAACCAAATGGGAGACAACATACTTTCCAATTTCAAGCTATATTATAAAGCTACTATACAGTGTCATCCAAACAGTATGGTACTTCATAAAAACAGACACACAGACCAATGGAACACAACTGAGAACCCAGAAATAAATCGATGCAAGGGACCTAAGAATAGTCAATGGAGAAAAGACAGTTTCTTCAACAAATGGTATTAGGAAACTTGGATATTCACATGTGAAAGAATGAAACTAGACTCCTATCTTATACTACTCACAAAAATTAACTCTGAATGGATTAAAGACTTCAGTGTAAGACCACAGACCATAAAACTCCTAGAAGAAAAGCTCCTTGACATGGGTGTGGGCAACAATTTGTGGATATGACACCTGAAGCACAAGCAACAAAATAAACAAGTGGGACCACATCAAACTTACAAGCTTCTGCACAGCAAAAGAAACAACAAAATGAAAAGATAACTGTACAAAGATAGGAAAATATTTGCAAACTGTATATCGAATAAGAGGTTAATATCTTAAACCTGTACAACTTATACAGTACTGTGTATCAGTTTTATTGTAACAAAACTGGAAATTTTAAGTTGGAAAGATAAAATCTTTAGCAATGTGATATGTAAAAAGGTATTTCATTTCACTCATTTTGCATTTCTTTGATTACAAATGATGCCAAACATTTTTATAGTTAATTTTTATAAGTCTTTTGTGAGTTGCCTGTACATGCCATATACTTATATTTTTAATGAAGGTTTTTAACCTTTATTATTAAGCACTAGCACTGTTTAAAGAAGATCCATAATTTGTAGTTAAATGTTGCAAGATTTTTCCCCTATTTTTTTTCATTTGTCCTTTACCTTAATTCATGATGGTTTTTTTGAGATATAGAAGTTTTTAATTTTTATATAACCAAATAATCAATCTTTTCCTTTCCGGTTTCTTTCTTTGCTTTTATGCTGATACCCAAAAATATTTGTAAAACACAAATCTGATTATGACCCTCCATTGATTAAAATTTTCCAGGGGCTTTTGGGAAGTTTTTAAAAAAATTCAGCTTCCTTCTGGTGCTCCAGCCCTCAGCTACTGCCATCCCTTAAGTACTTGGGCTTGTTATCAAGCCAAGTCATTATACTTAGTCCACTCTACCGAGTGCCCTCTGCTTGGAAAGTGAGCCCTCCACCAGCTCCATGGGTTTACTCCCCACCTCAACCCCCTCTTCCCATGTATCACCAAAGCCCCGGTTCGGACATGACCACTTCCTGTGCAGCACCTGGTTCCCAGGAGACTCGGCAGCATTTTGTAAAATGAGTAACTCAAACAACAAGCAAAGTCTAAAATGGCGAATAGGAGAATTGGCTCTCAGGGCCAGTTTAGGATCAAAAAGCCCAGTGAGGAGCAACAAAGGGAAATGGCAGAGAGCCCAGGCCACATGTGCAGGGCAATCAGAAGTGGGGGGATCAGAGTTGGGTGAGGGGGGGAAGCTGCAGGCAAAGGGCAGAAGGTCAGATCGACTGGCAGCCCTGGAGGCCTAGCGCACAGGGACCACAGCCCAGGACTGGGCTCCCCCGAAGGCTGCAGGACAGTGTCAGGAAGGCCCAGGCTCTGAAAGCACCGGGCAACAGTCACCTGACATCCCTAATTGGAAGATCCATCTTACCATCCAAACCGCCACCTCCACAGTCCCCCACACCAGCAAGTGGCATCCCGGCATTCCAGTTTCACAGGCCAGAAACCAGAGCCACTCGATTCCTCTTCCTCCCACACCCCAAATCCCATCTGTCGGCAAATCCCATTGGCTTAAGCTTCAAAATGTGGCCAGACCACGTACTGCTTGATTCCATTTAGATTTTCTGGAAAGGCAGGCAAAACAATTGAGACAGAAAACAGATATGTTGCCATAGGCTGGGGGCAGAGCGACTACAAAGGGTCCTGAGGGAATTGGGCAGCTGACGGAACTCTCCTACACCTCGGTTGTGGCGATGGTCACACATACAGGCATTGTCAAAACTCAGAGGTGTACACCAAGCAGGGTGAATTTTACTTTAAGTAAATTACACATTAATAAAACCATGGGAAAGAATATACCAGGACTCCAGCCATCCCTCACTGTCCTGGCGGCCATCACCCTGTCCCAGGTGACTCCAATCAAGCCACTGTGGCCTCACTTGTCCCTGGATGTGCGCTGCCTGCTCCCTTCTTGGCATGCGGTCTGGAAGGCACTTCCATTCACATGGTCCCCTCCTCCGTCTCCTTCAGGTCTTGCTCAGGTAGTGTCTTCTCCACGAGGCCCGCCCTGAGGACCCTCTTTACAATCGCAGCACAGCCGCCCTCCATTCCACACCCCCATCTGCTAGCCTCGTTTTATTTTGCTCACAATCCAGGGTTCCATCTGACATACCACATATTGTTTGTTTATTGTGAGGCTCCTCCTCATATCCGTGAGGACAAGGATTTTTGTTTCATTTCCTGCTACCCCCGGTACCTAGGACTTTACTGTCTGCCTGGCCAATAAGAGAGACTCAGATTTTGTAGATGGAGGCAAGGAAGGCCAAGAGAGCCCCAAGAACCAATGGAGATGGTCAGCACATCACTGCCCCTGAAATGCCCTCAGCTCCTCTGCAGAGACAGTTTCGGAGAGCAGAGACCACAGCGTGCACTTGTGTTTGTGTGCATGGGTGTTTCAGGGCAGTGGTTGCCTTTTGGGTTCGCCGCCACCTCAGATAGCTGACCTAACAGATGCCTTCTCTCAAATTTCTCTCCAGAAGCAGATGTTCCAGGAGAGGAGTAGCCGGATGCTGCAGGCCTTGTCCCCGAAGCAGAGCCCCGTGAGCAGCCCCACCAGGAGCCGGTCCCCCTCCCGCTCCCCGTCGCCCACCTTCTCGTGGCTCCCAAACAAAGCTTCTCCCCCCTCCTCGCCCAAAGCAGCCTCGGCCTCCATCAGCAGCTTGAGCGAGGGGGACGAGGATGAGAAGTAAAAGCTGCTGGCAGACAAGAGCTATGCCACACAGGCTGGGGAGGAGGGCGGGCTCACCAGGGATGCCAGGGTGGTGGGTGAGGGGCAGTGGTGGCTGCAGCTCAGCAGGGAGACCCTGAGCTCTGCTAAGGGGAGGCCTGGGGACCAGCTGTCTTTCAGTCTCTCCTCAGCCTATGACTTGGGCTCTGCATGGAGGTTTCTAGCTGGACAACCTATACAAACCTTAGTGTCATCCAGAATCACTCCACTATAACCTTGTTAAGGAGAGATGCAGAGCACCCCTGGGAGCCCAGCACCTGGCGGGCTGTCTTCTTCGTTGGTCCTTACACCCACTGCGACCACGTACACCACCGATGAAGCGGCTGTTTCCTCAACCTGCTACTTTGGCTCATAAGGGCCCTGCACGTTGCCTCCTACCACCTGAGCTCTGCCAGAATACAGTGGTTTCCAATAAAAGTGGCAAAGTGCTTCTGAAATAGACAAATCCCAACTTTCTCAGTTTAGCCAGAGACCTGATGTTGCAATGCACTGATTCTTCCCAGTTCCAGGAATGTGGCACATACACAACCTGTTTTAGGTCACATGTAGAAAAGGTCATCTAGTGTGGACCTTAACTTCTTACTCTAAGGACAGATTTGTCAAGGAGAATGCCCAATCAGGCCTAAAGTGCCCCTGGTTGTACTTTTTCATCATTGGTTTGACTTGTTTTCCAGCAATTCCCTTAATCTGTGGGAAATGCAACAAATACATATAACAAGAGGAGCTGCTTTGCTTTGGCTCCAAGTTCAGCAGACGGCACCTGTTTCCTGAAGCTTCTCCTTAAAGGACGCTATTACGGATTGGCTTTTCCCATTTCTGACCAATTAGCAGTTTCATAGACCTCAAGTAACAGTTTGATGTACCAAACCACATAGTATATACCACTAGGGGTGCTACCTGCACGTATCTCTGTGCATCAATTAGGCATTCCAGGGCGTACATTGTATGCAATATGAGTATATGGTGGCAGCATTTACAGTACTTTCCTCCTGCTCACACCCCAGTGCTCCACAGCAATCCTTGGTCTAAAGAACTCCCTGGTTCCCCTCTGACCTGGGCACTTCCTCAAAAGCTCATCCTTGATTCCTGTAGAAATGTCTTGTCCCAACCAGGAAATTAGTATGTTGTTCTCATGGCCTCCCATGATTATTTTTGGCTGGAGGGAGGCTCTGAAGAGCTTCCCAGAGCACTGTGGCAACCTCAGTCTGACCTCAGCATCTGAAAGGTCCGGGTAGTTCTAGAGTTATCCCCAGCCCTCGGTTTGCCAAAAAGCATGAAGATTCTAAACATTCCTGCCGAGTTGTTTGAAGTGACTGTCCTCCAACCACAAGTAGGAAACAAGCAGGTAGAGTCAACGTCAGAACCACACTCTTGCACAGATGAGGCATTGCCTGTCTGTCCCAGTAAAGCCAGAGAAAGAGTTGGGGCCTGACCAGAGGCCCGAACCTCTCATGAATGTCATGAATGTCAGAGCCCAAGAATCTCTTGTGACAGAAACACCTCTTTTCAGAGGCCCTGGGAACGAGCCTTCTGGGTGAAGAGAGGGGCAACCAATAGGAAGCAGCAAGTCTTTCCCCCTTGTGTTGGGGCTGAACTACCTCTCTGCCCTACTGGACACAAGTGGTGTTAGGAAGCAAAACCATAACCATGAAGCTAAGCTGGCTTGGAACCCCCTTGTGCCTTGCAGGACAGAGAGCTGGTGGGAGTGTAAGGAGAAAACTTCTCTTTGCAGTCAAAGCCCAGAGCGTTGCTCTGCTTGGCGAGCGAGACCCCGTTCTTCTGTTGTGCCCATTTGGTCTCTCTCCCGCCACGCACCCAGGGCAACATGGGCACGCACTGCCTGTCCCAGCAGGTTGGCACTTTTAGCAGCGAAAGGAGCAGCAGACCAGCTGGGCAAGGTCAGGTGGTGAGAACAGGGGAAGAGAAAAGGGGAAAAGGGGTACTGGGAGAGAGGAAAGGAGGTTAAAGAAAATCTGTGCTCTCAAACCGCTTCAGGGCCTCCCAGAACGGGGGAACCGCTCTCTTGGGCAGGCTTTTATGGGCTTACTCCACGGCCCAGGGCAGACAGATGCCCTCTCACCCAAATTCTGCTCTGAAGCAAATAGCATGGGGTTGATGTATCAGGCTGATTAGTTGGCAGGTCTTACATGTCACACTGACAGGTGCCACTTATGTGACTCAGACTCGGTGCCATCACAGCTGCCATTTATGGGAGAGACCAATGCCTGGAATATTCCAGGGATGGAGCTAAACAAGCCACAAGCAAGTTCTAATCTTACCCTATGTCTCCTACCTGACTTCTAACAATGCCTCCCCACCCTCCTAAGGCTAACAAGACTCCTGAGAAGGAATTGGGGGGATTTTGCAACCCAACTTCTGATGCTTCCTAGCCACCAGTTTCTCCCAGGAGGAGATGGGCTGTTCTTTGTCTGGGCCAGCCAGTCAACAGTAATGGCCAGGGCTGGAGGAGAGGCATAGAAATTCATTGCAAGCTTGCAGAGATAAGCAGAAATGACAAAAAGCAAGGAAAGGGTCTTTGTCCTGGAAAGGGAAGGAAGCTTCAGACTGAGCACTAGAGAGCAGCCACTTTGGGTCGCAGCGGGGCAGGTTAGGAAGATGGGTGAAAGCGGGATGAAGGAAGGTGGCCTGTGGGGAGCAGTCACTTTCTGCTCCCTTTCCAAGTGTCTCACCCCCCAAGAGCTGAGGCAGACAGGCTTCCTTTCACAGACCCCAAGGACAGTGGGCACCCCTGTGGGCTGTGGCACCTGGACACCTAGCTTCCCCAGTGTGGTGCCCCTCCGTTAGCTGCCACATCCTTTTCCCCAGGGCCCTGAATCAGACATTTGCCCTTCCACCAGCTAAAACTACAGCAGAATGTCAAAGTCACATGAATGACCCATTTCTGGCCAGCTAGCTGCCATGCACCTCGACCCTGCAAAGGTGCAGGATCCCAAGCTCAAGAGCAGCTGTCCTGAGACTAAGGCTGCCTTCTGACCAGCTCGGCGGCGAAGACACTTTACCTTGGCCATGGGACACAGTCTTGAGGGAGGGATGGGAAGAGTGTGGATTGTTTTCTCTCCATCTTCAGGACTTCTCCCAGCCCCCAGGCAAGCCCCAGGGAGAGGTGCCAGAGGGCGACGCAGACCCTTCACCACTAGTCTTGACCACCAGATTTTTTTAAAAAGAACAAACTCATGAGGCATTAGCAACTCCTACTTGTCTCTAGACTTGAGATTTTTGTTGTGTTACTGCAATATGTCCCAGGACAAAGCCATAAAAAGACCATACATACTTCAGACTATGCTGTACCGTAAGACAAGACGACAACTCGTCCAGGGGCCCAAGCCTTTGCTCTGGTGCTGACACCATGAACTACTGGAATCAGCCCACCCCTCCCCACCCTCCCCACTCCTGCTCCCAAACAGGGCACAACATTCCCAACTCGTTTTAAATAAAGGGATGCAGAATTGCACTTTGGCTCACCGAGTTTCTCTCCAGTGTGCTGTTGTGGGTTCCTGCGGATGAGTTCCAGCTCAGCATGGAAAATACAGGCATAGCAGCTGTCCTGGCTCTGTGCAGTGGTGGCCCCAGCCCCTCAGAAGGCCGCGACTCTGCCCCGGGCAGCACGGACCAAAGTCTTGGAGCTACCAAAGGGCTCCCACCTGACGTAAAAGCTAGTTAGGAACAGACCAACTTGGAAGGGGTGGGGGATCAGTTAGAGAGCCCAGGGAGGACCCTGAGTTGCAAGTCCCACTGCTAACTTGCTTTGTGACCTTGTCCAAACCACTTCACTTCTCTGGCCTCGGTGCCTACTTTTGTAAAATGAGGGGGGTTGAAGGGAACGGTTTCTGAGGTCTCCTTTGCCTATAAAGGTCTCTGAATTTATGAGGCAATCTGCATTGTCCTTAAGTTCCTACAGTTAGGATGCCCTCACTGAGCGACCACAAGAGGGTGCTTACCTGTCTGGGTGGGAAGCCGGAGAGGTGGTCCTACCAGGCCCTTGGAGCCCCCACAGCTGTTAGCGTCCCTGGTACACTCATGCCTCACTCTCTGCAGGCTCTGGCACTCCACCCACCTTTATTTTGCCACCTGATGGAAGGATATTCACCTGTGCCTAAACATTGGGGAGTGGCCATTTCAACCCCTTTTCCATGTTCGGGGGAAAAGCTCCTTGGTCAGCTGGAGACAAATCAGTGGGGTGGAGACGCTAAATCAGGATCTCAGATGTCAACAATTAAGCCAGAGGTCAATGTTCTTAGAATTGTGCTCAAGCCCTCCACTGGCTGAATTTAGGAGCATCTGTTAACTCCACCTGGAGAGGTTGAGGTCTTTGAAATGACAACAGTTTTAACATTAGCCTAGACTCTAGAAGAAATAAAGCCAGACCTGTATTCAGCAAGGGAATTCATTTAAAAACACAATACTTATTATTCATTGACCATATTGCCTTTGCCACCTAGATCGAGCACGTTCTTGACAGGTTGTATTTGGAGTGACAGTTACAGGTTTCTTCTTGACTTCCATGCTGCCTCAGAAATGGTCTCAGGGAAAAACAATCAGGTCTAAGGCCGAATAAAATTCATGTTCAAAAACTCTGATATTTGTTCCAAACAGAATTAGGCTTTGTTAAACAACAGAACCCCTGGGGTTAAAAAATACAGTACACTATCAACAATGTTTACACACACACACACACACACACACACACACACACACACACACACACACACACAGGGTCTTCTGGTATTGGAGCCCTCATTGGCTATTGGAGTTGAATGTTTAAGTGACTTCTCCAGGCATTTAGCAGTAGCTGTTTGATAAAAGGACTCCCGCAGAGACGCTTTTCAGACAAAGCATGACAGTTCATAAGCATCAAAGTACACCCAGTGATCAAAGGCTTTAAGAAACCATCAAGTAAAAACAATAACCCAGTAAAATCTGAAAATATCATTTAGGCATAAATATCTGTAGGTGAAAATTGATCTCTGTGCTGGGCCTTTCTGCACTGCCGTAACTTATACTCCAGAAAAAACACCATCTTGGCTGAATCTCAGCTGCAGTTGACCTAATGTGGGAAACTTGAGGGGAAATGTTCAGACTAGGACTGACTTACCGAGGCAGGTATTAGGCGGATAGAGCTCAAGGTCCTGGTAAGGAGCAGGCAGAAGGAACGAGGGCCAAGGCTTCTCAGTAAAAAAGAAGTCTAATCCTGGACGTCTGAGAAAATTCAGCCTGAGAAGAAAGGGAGTTTTTCTTTCATCTAGCTTGGCCATAGCAACAGGCCCTAGTGACAACTCCCAGCCACTTGCATGGTTTACTCCATTTATGTGCTTATAATAAACCCTAGACACTGCAGTTCTAGCAGTGCCCTGCCCTGCCCCCTTCCTGATAAGCGGAAGCTTTCCTTTCTTCTTTCACTCTTTCATTAAACTTTGCTGGTTGCTCCATACTCTTGTCTGCTGGCTTCATTCTTTGTCACCTCCAAGACACGATCCTGGGGAAAACAGCATCTCAGCCAGTAACACTACCACCTATAAACAATTTTTACTCTCCTTAACCTTCATTATCTTTCTTGGGGGATGGGGAAGGACCTGAGCGGCAAGGTTACTGTGCTTTAGTCATAAAAGCAGAGTTCTTGTATTTGATACATGACCTTCTATTTTAAGAGAATTCATGAATCCATACCTCAAAGAGCTGAGATACTTTACACTGTCCATAGGGACATTTTCAGCTTATTATACTTGCCAGTGAACTTGTCACTCTAAAATTTCCAAGTTCAAAGAAAACCTGTCAACCCCTGACATGCGATGGCAGGACATGACTCATTACAGAGCTTGAGGAGATAACCAGTCTTTTCTGGTAATCATGTGCCATTGGACAGATGTTGACAAGAATCCTGACCACAAATTGACATAAACACAACTGAGTCATTGATTCTTTTTCCATTCGTTTTTGTATCTGGTACCCAGATTTGGTAGATGAAATTAATGATAGAAGAAAGAAGTTGAAAACGTGTGTATTTGTTTCCTACTGATGTAACAAACTTAGTGGCTTAAAGCAACACAGATTTATTATTTTACAGTTCTGGAGGTCAGAAGTCCAAAATGGGTCTTACTGGGCTAAAACTGAGGTGTTGGCAGAACCAAGTTTCTATCT